AGTTTTGAGGGCAAAACACGGAGAAGAGAGAGGGAATGATGAGGAAAATACTTCTTAAGAGAGAGGGAATGATGAGGACATCGGACCCAACAACATCTCGAAACGAAGATATTGACGGAAGCATACCTCGGATCGAAGCCACCAAGTAAAAGGAAGTTTCTTGGAGTGCAAGACAATTATCCAAAGGAAGCTTCTTCATCATCAAGGCAACTCCAACTACTAGCTTCCCAACCACCTCATTTAATGTAACATCAAGACAATTCCAACAACTAGCTCCCCAACCACCTCATTTAATGCATTGGATTCCTACCCCTCTTGCATGTTCTTGTCATTTAATGTTGTAGTTGAGAATTCTAGCCTATATAAAGGTCTTGTAATGCGTCATTTGTAATCAGACTTGTAGAATGTCTCAAACATTTCGAGTTTTATAAACTCTTCTTCGGTTTGTCCGAAATTTATCCCGATCTTCGGTGTGTCCGAGATCACGAGTTTGGTGTATCCGAACTCAAGCCTTGGTGTGTCCGAGGTCCACTACCCTTTGCTTTCCCTTCGATCCATTCCATTTCTCTGTCTTAGTTTTGAATTCGAGAATCTCTTAGAGCCGGTGATTGAAACTAAGATCCATCAAATTCCCCTTCGTTTTAACCACAATCCGAACGCGAATTCGAGAGCCTTCTCCGTGAAGTGCGGGTGATTGCGTTTCAGGTCAGATTCCATCCTCTCCGAGCCAAGGCGTGTATCAGTTGCAGTTGCGGGTGACGGCGTTTTCAGAGCGTTTGATAGCGATTATGAATGATAAATACTGAGGGTTCGACTGGTTGTACCGCAGCGGTTGCGGTTGCGGGTGGCAGCGTTTTCAAAACGTTTGATAGCGATTATAAATGATTAGTACTGACTGGTTGAGAAGTTGTTGTTGGTAGCGATTGCGGGTGGGTGTAGTTAGAAGTGAATGATTCATTACGGTTGCGGTTGCGTTTTGATATAAATTGTCAAAAAAAATATATTATTTAAAAATAATTTTTATAATAGTTTTAATTAAATTTTTCATATCATTTGATAAAAATTATTTACTAAATTTATAATAATTAAATAATAAATTTAAAATATAAATATTATCAATTTAATTTATTTTCAAGTAAAAAAATAATTTTATTATAAAAATTATTAAAAATAATCATTATTAAACCTAAAAATTATACTATTGTATTTTTTT